CGATAATTAAATCTTTATTCTAAATAAAAACTAAAAAATAAATTTAATAAAAATAAAAATATTAAGAAATCGCGATAGCGAATAAATATATTTATATCTAAAAAGAAACTAGTTAAAAAAGTAAAGAAAGTCGATATATTAATTATTAACTATATTATAGTTTATAATAAATATAAAATTAAATATATTAATATATCGCAATTAAAATAGAAGTAAGCTCTTAAGAAAATTAGATAAAATATAATAGATAAATAATAAATAACTTCTAATTCTAATTATTATTCTAATAAACTTACGTTTTAATAATATTATATAAGAAAAATACGCGAGCGTAATTTAGAGAAAATTTAGAATTTTATTTATTACGTAAATTATTATATATATAGATAAAGATAAAAGCTCGAATTAGAAGGAAATAGATAATATCGAAGTTAAATAAAATATAAATATTAAGAATAATTCTATTATACGCGTTAATAATTAAGTAGACTTTATCTTTTAAATTACTCGAAAGCGCGATATAGAATTTAATAATAAACTCTATTATAGCTTAAATATAATAATATTAACGCGTTAATTAATAAGTATTAAGCTATTATAAAAATCTTAAGATATTAAATATAATTATATCTAAAAGATAAAATTATAAATCTTTATTAATACGTAATTAATTTAATATATAATAATAAAAAGTTTATTACGAAAGCTACGCTATCTAAATTAATACTTTAATCTTAACTATTACTTTTATTATTATATAAATAATATAAAACTATCTCTTATTCGAGTATATCTAATTCTTAATTCTAATTATTATTATAAATATTATTAATTTATTCTAGAATTATTAAATCTACTTTTATATATTTTCTATATCTTATCTTTTTTTAATTAGATAGTAATTAAACTCTAAATTAAAATAAATACTTAGAAAAAAAAAGTTTATAAGTGCTTAATTATATAATTTTATTTCTTTTATACTTCTTATAATTATTTAGATAATCGATAATATATAATTATATCTTATAATTATATATATAATAAACGATTAATAAAATAGCTAAATTATATAAAGATAAATATACTTTTATTTTTAATTTAAACGATTTAACTAAGATAATCGCGAGATTTAAATTCTTTTTTTATAATATAACTCGCTTTTTATATATTATATAAAGATAAATATTTATTTAAATAAGAATTATTAGAGTTAACTATAAAGCGTAATAATAAAAAACTTATTCTTAAATTAACGAATTAGAAAGACTTTTATTATCTTATATAATACTTTAAAAGCGAATCTTTAAATATAATAGCGTTTTAATAAATTCTAATTAAGTATAATTTAATAAATTAGATATTAAAAGAAAAGCTTTAGAATTATAAGATTAATTAATTTTTAATAATAATAAATCTCGCGTAAAGCTTAAGCTATAGCTCGCGTTAATTATATATAATAAATATAATAATAATTAGAAGAATATATTATTTAATTTCTATTAACGTTTTAATATTATTAAAATAGAGATAATATTTATTAAAGTAAGAATAATATCTATTAAAATAATAGCGACGGCGATAAAAGCGATAATAATATTTAATAAAATCTTTATTTCAACGCTACGTCTAGTACTCTAGAATAATATTAACTTTTTTAAAGAGCTATTAATAATAAATTAAGCGTATATAAATTAAGCTCTTTACGCGATTTATCTATATATTAGCTTAAAGTTATTAAAAGATAAAAAATAAATATATAGCTTAATAACTATATTATACTTTTAATATCGCTATAATAATATTAAGTTATTTAAATAAGAGTTTAATATATAAAGAAGATAATTTAATAATAAGAAGAATTAATATAAAAAAGAAAGTCTTAAAGAAGAAAAAGGGGGGAAGAAAAGCTTAGATATCTATCGCGTATATTAAATTTTTAAATTACTTTATATTATCTAGCTTAAATTAAATATTAATAAAGCGCTTTTTCTTTAATTTTAAAAATTTAAACTTAAGCGAATTACGCTTATTAAGCGCTATTATCTAATATAATTTTAATTATTTTTATAATAATTATAATTATTATTATAGTTTATATAAATTAAAAGATAAAAGATCTAAGAGAGCGAGCTAGTAAGCGATTATCTTTATTTAGTTTAATTAATATTAAACTACTATAACTTATTAAAATTTTTATATATTTTATTTTTACTTTCTTATCTTTAAGTCTTATTATCTTTATAAAAATAATTATTTTTTAAATTAAACTCTATAATAATATACTTAAAATAGCGTATAATATATATTCTCTTTATTTCTAATATTAATACTTATTAGAATTAACGTACTTTTTAATAAAACGAGCTTTAATTAAAATTAAGAATAGTTTAATATTCGTAGATATTTATATAAGCCCTTTAATTCTTTTATATATATCTATTAATTTATTTTTTTATAATAATTAAAGTAAAAGAGATTAAGTTTAATAATTTATTATAATAAATATTAAATATTAATAATAATAGCGATATTAAAGAATCTCGATATAAATTAATTAGATAACGATTAGATTTTTAATTAAAATGAAAAGCGAAGAATAAATTTAATTAAAATAAAAATATTAAGAAATCGCGATAGTAAATAAATATATTTACGTTTAAAAAGAAACTAATTAAGAAAATAAAGAAAGCTAATATTTTGACTATTAATTATACTATAATTATTAAAAAGTATAAAATTAAATATATTAATATATCGTTATTATAATAAAAGTAAACTTTTAAATAAATTAGATAAAATATAATAAATAAGCGATAAGTAATTTCTAATTCTAATTATTATTCTAATAAACTTATATTTTAATAATATTATATAAAAAAAGCACGCGAGCGTAATTACGAAGAAGTCTAAAGTTTCGCTTATTACGCGAATTATTATATATATAAATAAAGATAAAAGCTCGAATTAAGAGAAAATAAATAATATCGAAGTTAAATAAGATATAAGTATTAAGAATAATTTTACTATACGCGTTAATAATTAAATAAATCTTATTTTTTAAACTATTTAAGAGCGTAATATAGAATTTAATAATAAGCGTTATTATAGTTTAAATATAATAATATTAACGCGCTAATTAATAAGTATCGAGCTATTATAAAAATCTTAAAATATTAAATATAATTATATCTAGAAGATAGAATTATAAATCTTTACTTATATATAATTAATTTAATATATAATAATAAAAAGCTTATTACGAAAATTACGCTATTTAAATTAATATTTTAATCTTAATTACTATTATCGCTATTATATAAATAATATAAAATTATCTCTTATTCGAATATATCTAATTCTTAATTCTAATTATTATTATAAATATTATTAATTCATTTTAGAATTATTAAATATACTTTTATATACTTTCTATATTTAATCTTTTTTTATATATCGTAAGAAGATAGCTTAAAGAAATATAACTTATTATATTAAGCTATAATACTTTTAAGAGAATATTAAGAGATATATTAACTTTTCTAAATTAGCGATTTAATAAAAAGATTATAACTATAATATATATAATTTTATATTAGATAGCGATATCGAAAATATATAATAGACGTATAAAATTATTATTAATAGCTTTAATTATAAAGTATCGACGAATTTCGCGTAATTAATACTAGAGGAAAATAAGCTTTTCTTATTATTAGCAGATATAATTCGCTTTCTTTTATATATATAAAGTAATAAAATATAATAATATTTAATTTTATATTTTATTAATTTAGCGTAGTTATTAACTAGAATAATAATTAGAATAATTACTTCTAAATATAGAAATTTCAATTAAAATATCTTATATATATATTATATTATAATATAATTTCATAGATATATCATATCGTAATATATATCGCTAAGATTCTATATTATATTAGATATGAAATTCTATAAATCTTAATAACTTATATTATATTAGAGTATAGTATAGTAGATTAATATTTCATATTATATTATATCTTTTCGACTAGTACTTTCGCCGCAGAGATCATATTCATAAAAACTCCTTTCTTATTAAAATTATATATATTTTCTAGAAGAATCTTATACTCGATAATAACGCTAACTAGAAGACTAAATCAGCGATAAATAATTTCGAAATATATAGTCTTTGCTCGATTATCGTTTAATGCTCTACTATATACAATTTCCAATTAACTATTATATTTTAGAAATCGTTTCGTTTATCGTTTACTTACTTATATACTTAAGTTCTTCTTTTTCGTCTATAAAAGCTCTAAGACTATAGTTCGTAAGACGTTTACTCTAGATAGATATCTCTACTTAATTAATTTCATATACTATTTAACTAAAACATCCTTCTCTTCTTAAATAAAATACTTTTAAGGCTCGGCTTCTTTTATACGACTCTTTCGATTATAGACACTAGCATATAATAATAATTTAGAAATATCGAATTGAATAGCGAGTTTAACGAGTTTTAGAATAGAATCTTTTCGCTATTACTTTAAAGCCTTAGTCTTTTAAACATCTACCGTATTAGATCTAAGAGATTTCTTATAAGTTATAACGAAAGAAGAATAATTTAATTAAGTGTTATAAGCTAATAATAAGAGAGGCGATAAAGGAGTAGCGGGGTATTCTACGAATATTATTATTTTATAGAAAGACCCTAATCGATAGATCTATGCTATATTCGGTTAGACCGCTAAATTTTTGATGTGTATGCCAAGAGTCTCGAAGCCCAGTTATTCTCGTTGACCGATCAAGCACGTTACTATCTTTAGAAGATGATTGGCTAGGATTCTAAAGGGGCGGAGTACCCAATAGTCGCTATCGCCCTCGAGGGAAACCCCATCTCTCACTTGCTGAGTTGAGAAAGAAGGCTCTCCATTTCCCCTAGGCTCCTTCTACTATCATTCTCGTATAAGACCTGTCTGGAGCAACTGAACTTATGACGAGATTTTCTTGCGCTACTCTATAACTAGATAGAAATATGCTAGCGCAACAACCAACAACCCTTCCACAAAACGAAGAATCCTGATATCCAAGCGGGCAAGAAAGACTGCAGCCAGGACCCCCATCGCAGACACTAACATGAACAAGCCTGTTTTGATCTGCCCGTAGAGAGCTTGCGCCCATACTAAAGGCGTAATCTGCTGCCACAGATTAGGCACCATTGTTAGATAGCTGGGGACCTCCACGTATCTGAATCGCTCTACCCCTCGCACAGGCTTCTCCAGATAAAGCGCGATTTGAGATACCTCTTCAGGATTTATCTCTGCCAGCGCTGCAATAGCGTTGATGGTAGTTTGACGCGTAGGAAGGATGCCGAGAGTGGTCTCATGCGTATTCTGATTGAAGTCGGTTGTCTGCAAGTCGACTGTCTGCAGATTTTGATGGAGGCGTCGTTCGTATTCTCGAGCTGCATTGAGATAACGATAATTGGTATTACAGGCATCGACTAGGCTCAAAACCGATGACCTGCTAGCTGCGACAGCTGTGACCCCTGTGTTCCATACAATTGTGACAGCCACGACTCCCATGTTGCCCACAGCTGTGACAGCTGTGACTCCTGTCTTCCACCCCGAAAGCGTGACCCCTGTGTTCCATACAGTTGTGACAGCCACGACTCCCGTGTTGCCCACAGCTGTGACAGCTGTGACTCCTGTCTTCCACCCCGAAAGCGCCCAGCTCGATGTATTCATCCCAGGATTCGTGGCCGATATTTTTTGAAATTGATGCTCAATCCATTCCTGTACTTCGAGCCAAGCATATTGAAGGTCTTCATACATATGGCGCGGGGTGTGGGTGTTGACTCTGAGTTGTAGGGGAACGTTTGGGGCTATGGCGACGTGATGGTCGATTTGTGGTTTAAAAGTAGCTTCTGAATGTGGTAGCATTATGTTACGTGTGGCTTTCGTGGTGGTTGCTTTGTTGGCAGTGAGTGATATGAATTTCGGTATAGATACGAAAACTTACTTGAAGCTGTAGAGGATGTGACCTGAGTATTCCACATCCAAAAGATTAGGAGACAAAGAATCAGAGGTTTGTATTGGTTCGCCATTGCGCTAAATTGAGTGTTGATAAACGACTCGGATTTTACAAAAAGTTGTTCATTATTGAACAACGTGGAAACAGAGTTACGTGAATGAATCGTAAATTAAAGGAGATAACTCTCCCCTGAACCCGGCCGCAATATTGAAGTATTTGGAATCCACGGGACTGCGACTGCGTTAGACACGCTCTCTAACTTGTCAAGCCAAGATTAGGCGTAGAATAACGGCTAGATCTTCAATGTATGCACCCGTCTGTAAATTGTTTGAAATAACACGGGACTGCGAGATCCTCTCCCATGCTCTTCGATTCGTCCGGTTAGGAATGGGCGAAAACTACGGAGATACTAAGAGAAAATGATCGAACATGTGAGTCTACTTTTCGAGACACAACATATTTGTGCTAGGGGCCACTTAAGAAGTCTCGCCGAGTACCCCCTACCGCACTTTTCAATGCGTACACTATGACTTTCACCACTTATGCAAACCTCGCAGGTGATAAAAATCGATGTATCCGATAAACGCCGAGAGTTAATAAATATTATTCTCCGTACTATTATTTTCATTATTATCTTATTATCAGAAAAGTAAAGCGAATAAATAGGGTTGGATTTTCAAGTTAAAAATTTAGCCAGCCAAGTCAAAGAACCAATCTACCACTCCACCACTACGAAATGATTTAATCATAAGTATAAGGTATATAACGAGAGAGGCCAAGGCCAATAGAAGGAAATAATTGCTTATAAAAAAGAAACATATTCTTATACAAGAGTATCGAAATATCGAAAAAATAAAGACAACGCTAATTAGTGTGAATCCCACAATATCTCCTATCGCAGTGAAATTTTCGAATAATGAAATAGCTATAAACATCGGACGATTTCAATTCATTTAAATATACATCGTTCAATAATAATTATGGAAACGAGAGTATATAACGTGGGATCTTGAAGAGCTGAGCCGTGTTCTGATACGAAAGCCTTATTGCCCTTAATTTCTCCGCAGTATTCTCCATAGTATTCTCCGCAGTATTCTCCGCATTTGCCTATTATAGTTCCTTCTCTTACTTCTTAATATAGTAGAGATAACAGGCCAAGTTATAATAGTATTCTCCGCTTACTAAGTAATAATTTATATAAAATCATAGAGATATATAACGTGGATCTTAAAGAGCTAAGCTATATTCTTAATGCTAAAGATCTTATTACCGCTTAATTTCTCCATAATATTCTTCGCATTCGCCTATTATAGATCCTTCTCTTACTTCTTCTTTTATAAAGTATTAGACTAAGTAGCTAGCTAAGTAATTAACTAAGTAAATAATTAATATAATATGAGATCTTAGAGAGCTAAGCCGTATTCTTAATGATAATAGCCTTATTACCGCTTAATTTCTTCGTAGTATTCTCCGCATTTACCTATTATAGTTTCTTCTCTTACTTCTTAATTCAGTAAGAATAATAGACTAAGTTATAGTAGTATTCTTCGCTTACTAAGTAATAATTTAATATAGAATAATTAAGTTATAGTAATATTCTTCGCTTACTAAGTAATAATTTAATATAAAATCGTAAAGAGTATATAACGTGGAATTTTAGAGAGCTAAGCCGTATTCTTAACGATGGTAGCCTTATTACCGCTTAGTTTCTTCGTAGTATTCTCCGTATTTACCTATTATAGTTCCTTCTTTTACTTTTTAATATAGTGGAAATAATAGACTAAGTTATAGTAATATTCTTTATATATTAAGTAATAATTTAATATAAAATCGTAAAGAGTATATAACGTGGGATCTTAGAGAGCTAAGCCTATTCTTAGTATTAAAAGCTTTATTGCCGCTTAATTTCTCCGTAGTATTCTCCATAGTATTCTCCGTAGTATTCTCCGCATTTACCTATTATAGTTTCTTCTCTTACTTCTTAATATAGTAGAGATAATAGACTAAATTATAATAGTATTCTCCGCTTACTAAGTAATAATTTAATATAAAATCGTAGAGAGCATATAACGTGGGATCTTGGAGAGCTAAGCTGTATTCTTAATGCTAAAGACCTTATTACCGCTTAATTTCTCTATAGTATTCTCCGTATTCGCCTATTATAGATTCTCCTTTTACTTCTTCTCTTATAAAGTATTAGATTAAGTAGCTAGCTAAGTAGTTAACTAAGTAAATAACTAATATAACGTAGAATCTTAAAGAGCTAAGCCGTGTTCTTAACGATAGTAGCCTTATTACCGCTTAATTTCTTCATAGTATTCTCCGCATTTACCTATTATAGTTTCTTCTCTTACTTCTTAATATAGTAAGAATAATAGACTAAGTTATAGTAGTATTCTTCGCTTATTAAGTAATAATTTAATATAGAATAATCAAATTATAATAGTATTCTCCGCTTACTAAATAATAATTTAATATAAAATCGTAAAGAGTATATAACGTGGGATCTTAAAGAGCTAAGTCGTATTCTTAACGATAATAGCCTTATTACCGCTTAGTTTCTCCGTAGTATTCTTCGTATTTATCTATTATAGTTCCTTCTTTTACTTCTTAATATAGTAGAAATAATAAACTAAGTTATAGTAATATTCTTTATATACTAAGTGATGATTTAATATAAAATCGTAGAGAGTATATAACGTGGAATCTTGAAGAGCTAAGCCTGTTCTTGATACTAAGAACCTTATTATCGCTTAATTTCTCCGTAATATTCTTTATAGTATTCTCCGTAGTATTCTCCGTATTTATCTATTATAGTTTCTTCTCTTACTTCTTAATATAGTAGAAATAATAGACTAAGTTATAGTAATATTCTCCGCTTACTAAGTAATAATTTAATATGAAATTGTGAAGAGTATATAACGTAGGATCTTAGAGAGCTAAGCCGTATTCTTAATACTAAGAGCCTTATTACCGCTTAATTTCTCCGTAGTATTCTTCGCATTTACCTATTATAGTTTCTTCTCTTACTTCTTAATATAGTAGAGATAACAAGCCAAGTTATAGTAGTATTCTCCGCTTACTAAGTAATAATTTAATATAAAATCGTAAAGAGTATATAACGTGGGATCTTAGAGAGCTAAGTCGTATTCTTAGTGCTAAGGGCCTTATTACCACTTAATTTCTCCGTAGTATTCTCCGTATTCGCCTACTATATTAACTTCTCTTATACTAACTAAGTAGATTAATATAAGACCGTAAAGAGTAGGCCTATTATATTACTACTACTAATAACTATCTTTATAGTATTCTCCATATTCTCGTTTATTATAGATTCTTCTCTTATTTAATTAAGTGTAAGGGTATTAACGAGTTTATAAGTAGTAGTAGATATCTATTAAACTCGCTTATAGCCTCGATTATTAGTAATAGAAATTCGTCGAGAGATAGTCTAGAGGCGTTAATAGGGCTCTAAGAGGCGAGTAAAAGAAATATATATATCTAAATCGGACGCGTTTAATATAACTATAATATTTAAATATTAGTTTAACTACTTATGCTGACTTAAGAGAAGTATATAGAGGAGAATATATTCGTTCGAGCTCTTTTTAAGAGTCTTTTAACGCGTTTATAAGTAGTAGTAAATAGCGATTATTAGTAGTAGCGGATTTATTAAGAGGTAACCTAAGGGCGTTAATAGAGACTCTAAGAGATAGATAAAAGGAGTATATATATCTAAAACGTTAAGTAACCTTTAGACGAGAGGTATCGAAGACAATTATATTTATATTGATGGAATTGATATATAGTAGAATAGTAAAAGAAGAATAGTTATATAAATAGATGAAAGGATTATTATTTAATCTCGAACGCGTCTGGTATAATTATTATAACTATTATATTTAAGTATTAATTTAATCCACTAATAGTAGATTAAACTTTATAATTTTTACAGCGTTAAAAAGCGTAAAGCGAGCTCTATAATTTGAGAAATTATAAAGTAACTATATATATCATAAGCTGAGTACTTTAAAGTATAAAACTTCTATATATAAATTTTTAATAAGGAGACGTAGAAGGGCTATCGAGCCAACTTAGTCGATCTAATTAAAAAGCGTATAAAATAATTTATAATTAACTACATATATAAATTCAAGATTTTCAACTTAGCTCTATCTTATTCTTTTATATATACTAATATAATAGAATAAGATAGAGCTAGCTAAATCTTAAATTGATATGCAGTCAATATTAATTTAGGTTCGCTACGCTCTTAATTAGACCGCTAAGTTAGCTCAATACCCTTCATACCCCTTATCAAAAATTTATATATAGAAGTTTTACACTTTAAAGTACTCAGCTTACAATATATATAGTTACTTTATAATTCCTTAAATTATAAAGCTCGCTTTACGCTTCTAACGCTATAAAAATATAAAGTTTAGCCTACTATTAATGGATTAAATAAATATTTAAATATGGTAATTATAGTAGTTATATTAGACGCGTTTAAGATCGAATAATAATCCTTTCACCTATTTATTATTCTTTTATCATTTTATTAATTCTATCTATTAATTCTATTAATTCTATTAATTCTATTAATATAAACACAATCGTCTTCGATACCCTCGCCTAATTAGAGCCCCTTACTGACGCCCCTAGATTACTTCCAGCGAATTCGCTACTGCTACAATCGAGGTCGTAAGCGAGCCCAACAGCTATCTACTACTACTTATAAACGCGTTAAAAGGCCCTTAAAAAGAGTTCGGTTCCGATATGTATACCCTTGCCCACCTTTAGAGGCCCTACTAATACCCTTAGGTTATCTCTTAGCGAATCCGCTACTACTAGTAATCGAGGCCGTAAGCGAGCTAATAGCTATTTACTACTGCTTATAAACGTATTA